ATTTAGAACTTTACCATTGATGGTAGAATTTAACAACTTTAGCCAAAGACTAGTCCCATTTATTTTATCAGATTCAGCAGAAAAATGTATAAATGCGCAAAACAATTTTCTTATGTTTTAAGATGTTGATTATAGAATGAAGGGTAAAAATATCACACCGTACAATCAAATGGGCGGACAACAGTTCAAACGTTGACAGCTGTACCAGTATATACATGTCGGCGCACGAAACACAATTGACGGACGGTAAGTATTCATCTTTTTTTAACAATTCCCAACTGTTTTGAGTAAATCAATGTTATGGATTCATAGTCAACATCCAAAGGAGCATACTAACAGATTTCTGGCCCAGTGCTAGCATTACTTCACGTGAATTTTGACTGAAAATAACCACACTATTCAATGAGAAGCGGCATTTTTATTTTTAATTCACAAAAACTTATTTTTTCTCATGATAATAAATCCTTTTATTACACACCTGTGCCGATTTTGCGACTCCGTAAAAATGGTATTGCACGGCCGTGCATATATTTTGACGTGACGTCATTAGCGTTATACAAACATAGTGTAAAGACGCGCTGAATGTTTGCGTTATACAAAGGCGCGTCAATGAAAATGACTCTTATTTCACTTTAAACGGTCTTTATTTTGGGTATGTAATAAATAGAATATCAAATTCGTGTAAGTTCATTACTGAATTTATTGCACTCGTTGAATAAAATAATATTATGCTCGCCAGAGGCTCGCATAATATAATTTTATTCAACTCGTGCAATAAATTCAGTATCGAACTTACACTCATTCAATATCCTCTATTTATCATACGATTCGTAAACGTCTACATTTCGTCATTAAATATTCCAAAAAATATCTTCAAAAATGTTTTTCTGTTAAAGTTATAGGGTGTTTAAGTTGGAGTGTCATCAAAATTTTAGTAACTTTTAAGTAAATTTTAGTAGGCTTATAGTTTCAAAGTTATGTCCCAGATAAAATTCAAAGTGAAAAAATGAACAAACGGCAATTACTCCAAAATTAGTCATATCTATTGAGATATATCTACCTACAAGTGTCATGTTGATATCTCTTATAGTTTTAGAGTTATGTCCCTGACAAAAGGCAAAAAGTAAAAACAAACAAAGGAGAATAACTTCAGAATAAGACAAGGCAGAGTTATAGTTCTTTAGCACTGCACATTTACTTAATGAGATCTATCTAATTATAAAGTTTCATGTTGATATCTCTTTTAGTTTAAGAGTAATGACCTGGACAAAGTTCAAAGTGTAAGAATGAACAAAGGGCAATAACTCCAAAATTAGGCAAGACAGATTAATGGTTTTTCAACACAAATGAGACCTATCTACCTACAAAGTTTCATGTTGATATCTCTTATAGTTTTAGAGTAATGTCCCGGAAGTGTAAAAATAAACAAAGGGCAATAACTCCAAAATTAGGCAAGACAGAGTTATTGTTCTTTAGCACTGCACTTTTACACAATGAAATTTATCTACATATAAAGTTTCATGTTGATACCTCTTATAGTTTTAGAGTAATGTCCCCGACAAAGTTCAATATGTCAACATGAACAAAGGGCAATAACTCCAAAATTAGGCAGAGTTATGGTTCTTTAGCACTGCACTCCTCACTATGAGATCTATCTACCTACAAAGTTTCATGTTGATATCTCTTATAGTTTTAGAGTAATGTCCCGGACAAAGTTCAATGTGTCAAAATGAACAAAGGGCAATAACTCCAAAATTAGGCAAGGCAAAGTTATGGGTCTTTAGCACTGCAGTTTTACAAAATGAGATCTATCTACCTACAAAGTTTCATGTTGATATATCTTATAGTTTTAGAGTTATGTTCCGGACAAAGTTCAAAGTGTAAAAATAAACAAAGGGCAATTATTTAAAAATTATGCATGGCAGAGTTACGGTTTTTGTGCACTGCACACCTTCTTAATGAGGTTATCTACCTGCAAAGTTTCATGTTGATACCTCTTATAGTTTTAGATTAATGTCCTGGACAATGTCAAAGTGGAAAAAAAACAAAGGGGCAATAATTCAAAAATTAGGTAAGGCAGAGTACGGTTCTTGTGCACTGCACACCTACTCAATGAGATCTATCTACCTACGAAGTTTCATGTTGGTACCTATTGTGGTTTCAAAGTTATGTCCCGGACAAGAATAGCGGACGGACGGACGGACGACGGACGGACGAAAAGTGATCACTTTGTGACAGGTGAGCTAAAAACCATCACACTTTATACAGGAATGCCAGCTAGATTGCTACGCCAGCTGAGCATTCCAGTACAGCATTTTTACACTATATTTAGGAATGCTCCATTTGATTGCTCTACCAGCTATGCATTCCGGCAGAGCATTTGTTAACACTGTATTTAGGAATTCCCCTCAAGTTAATTCTGCCAACTCAGCTTTCAAGTAGAGCATTGATTTACACTTTTTCTGAATGCCATGCTAAATTGCGGTGAATTTTAAGTTCACGATAAACATAATTATAATGTATTTATTTATTTTGATTTATGTCTTTGTTTCAGTTATCAAGCTTTTCAAACATAGTAGACAAAGGATGACAACATAGTTTATTTGAGATCTTGTCAAGCTTCATAGCAAAAACATTGCTTTTCCAAATCATTTCAATTTGTTTGTAATAAAAACACTTTTTATCGCTGGCGTCTTAGTTAGATTCAATATTTCGTTATCGGCGTCTTATACGCGAGATCAGTCATAAAACATGTTGACTTAAGGTATGCGGATCAAGTGGTTGCTTAAAACCTAGTTAAAATGTTCTAAGAACACAATTTACGGCCATCCTTGGATTCGCTTTTCCTTAAAATTTAACGGACTTTATTTCTGAGTCCTAATTTGAATATTTGATCATGTAGAACAGACTTTAATCAGGTCATTTTCCTAAAGTTTTAAATAAATTGTCGATAAATGCTTTAGCATAACACTTAAAGTCCGGTATCACATATATGTACGAAAGTAAGGTGACCTCAAACCGGAAGTGACGTAAATTATTCCTAAATTAACAAGCAATTATCATAGTATTGCAAGCAATCCATAAGACGTTTTCCTACCGTTTAAAACCCCTGCAACATTCTGAAGGGCCGTTGGCCATTCACTTATGTTTCAATTTGTCTCTATTTCAAGTAAATTTGTTGGAAAAGTTCTTTAAAAGTGATCACAGGAAACAGTTTTTATAAACAGACAGAAGGACGGACTGAAGGACACTCTAAAGATAATATTTGAAACATCCCTGTTACCAAAATGTAACATTTTTAAAAGGAAAATTCTCAAAGAGGAGATAACTCTTGAATGAAAGATGCAATTTCATAAAAACTTTTCAGCTCTTTTTGACTTATCACAAATATTGTTATATTTGCCATGTTTCCAGCCTATCTGTTGTCATGGCAACATTTTTTTTTCAAAATAGGAGGAAAAGATAAAGACATGCATAATCTCCAGACTGCCATCTACCTATATTTAAAGTTTCATAAAAATATTTCTAATACTTTTTGCGTTAACATTGGATCCAGTTTCAACATAGGAAGAAAAAAAGACGTGCATAATCTCCAGACTGCCATCTACCCATATTTCAAGTTTCATAAAAATATGTCTAGTACTTTTTGTGTTATCGCTGGATCCAATTTATGTGTAAAATTTGCCATATTTACAGTCTATTTGTTGCCATGGCAACCAGAGTTTTCTACATAGGAAAAAAAAAGGAAAAGATACTGCCATCTATCCATATATCAAGTTTCATAAAAAATATTTTCAGTACTTTTGGCGTTATCGCGGGATTCAGTTTTGTGGACGGACGGACTGACGGACTGACAGACGGACGTTCTAACAGGAGAGTAATAATGTGGCTACTCTACTGTTCTCTATTTTTCTTTTAAGCCACACAAAAGAAAATAGCCACTTAAAATCAGTACGGAATGAATGACATTAAAGAAAAAGAACAGTTTCCTATTGTCACTCTAGCCACATAATTACTGTCCTGTGAGTGCGGACGGACAGACAGACGGACGGAGGGTAAACCTAAAGTCCCGTCCGGTAAACCGTTAGGGGACTAAAAATTGGCATATCAATATAAAATTAAAGTGAAATGTTCTGATGCATTTTGAGACATTTCTTATTATTTGAATAAACAGATTTACCAGTTTGCACAGAAATTGGAACCTAGAAAACAAACCTATTGTCCGTGCTCTGTTGAGCCGTACTTTACACATATTGAAAATATAAAACGTCTGTGAAATGATATTTGTGTAAGTGTAAGTGTTTTCGCAAAATAGGATGTAAAATACTTTTTAGCATGTATCATGCATGACGATCTTTTAACTATAAAGATAGACAAAGAGGGCGGAAATGTCTCGTAAGTATAATCATATATGTTTCATGCATTTAAATGCAATCTTATAATTTTATATAAGCAGGATGGGGCTTAAAAGTAAAATGAACAAAATATAAACACAAACTCATGAATTGCAATACAGACAAAATATGCAGGTATTACAAGAACCTTTTCAAATATATGTTCTATTTTCAGCTTGAATATATTCTTTCTACTTAATACATTCATAAATCATAAACTTAAACATAGCATGAACAAATGTTCTAAACAAACATTGTGTTAAATTTTACTGATTATTGATCATACCACACATCTTTTAAATATGTTATTATAACATTTACTTACTTTTTTTCGACTCTTCATATTGAGACTGTCGCATTGATTTTGTCTCTGCTGTGACATCTGCAGTATGACAATGTAATAGAGTGGATATAAATATCAGCAATTAGTTATTAAACTTTACAAAAAAAGGATTTACGTCATCTGCATTTAAATTCATTTATATTTCAAATGACAGGTTTGGTTACTTTAAAACAAAATAAAATTAAATTGAAAATAGCGAAGATGTGAGATTTAATTAATTATATTTATTACAAAACAAACTTTCGTTTTTAAGTATAAGCAAAATCAAAAGATTAATAAAGTTAAAAATTAAAATTAAGTCGCATCATTGCATTATAATGATAAATAATGATAACGCTGTTGAAAATTATAGTGATTAAGATAAGAAATTTTGTATGACTGAATTATAACTATACATTGTATTTAAATACTGTGAGGGTCAAAAAAGTCATCTGCGACATACCTTTTCTAGTTTCTTCCTTTAATTCCTGTATTTGTTTATCATGTTCAGAGGTTTTCTTGTTTAATTCACAAATACTCTGTGCATGCTTTCTCACAGTTTTACCTTGCACATTCAGAGTATATTTGATCTTTTCGTCCTCCATTTTCATCAATTTTAAATCAGCTTCTACCCCCTTTTCTAACATTTGCCAACTGTCTATTGCCTTCTGTACCCTTCTCTCCGCCTTTCTCACAGTTTGACCTTGCACATTCAGAGTATGTTTTATCTTCTCGTCCTCCATTTTTAACAGTTTTAAATCAGCTTCTACCCCCTTTTCTAACATTTGCCAACTGTCTATGGCCTTCTGAACCCTTATCTCCGCCTGTGGATCAAGTGGATTCACTTTTAAGTCATCAATCATCTTCTGTAGGTCTGGTATGGGTGACACCGCCGTGTTCAACCTCAAAAGAACCTATAAAACCATGAATTGCGTCACAATTGCATGCTAAAACTTACATTAAAACATTCTTTTTTAAACCCAACCAAACAATACACTGTTTACGGTGTCTATTCTAGGATTTGAGAAATAGGGGGAGGGTTTTTATCGGATGTATTACTGTAACATTTCTTGATTTTTTTCCCTCTTTCTCTATGTAAAATCTTCCCACTGCCTCTGAAAAAATAGGGGGGAATTCACAAAATTATGAGTGAATCTCCTCATCCCCCTCCTAGAATAGACACTGGTTTATGAACGTATTGTACAGCTATCATGTTTCTTGTCACCATTGCTAATGCATATACCGTTAGATATCATATTTATGGTATGTTTTTTATTTTATAAGTTTGCTTACTTGCTTTGAGCTCCGCTATGCGTGGTAGTTTCATTCTTGATATGTTCCTTTATGTTAATTTATGCCATGAAGCTTGCCCGTATTTAATAAAACTGATAATGATTATACAGTCTTTTTTGAAATGAAGAATAAACATCTTTTGATATACACAAAGGAAATATGTCATGTTTAAAACTCTTGTCACAGTATGATTACATAGTGTCATTTAAACATAACTGGAAGATTTTATTAGAATTGACCAAATTAATTTGACTAGTTACAGGAAATGCAGCTCTACAAACATAATTTAAACATTTACTTATTTAAATTAGACATATTCAGACAGACTTTAAAAGATTCTAAAGAATTTCTGAAGTAAAAGTATTTTACCCAAAGATGAGTTAGGATATATATATAAGTTAATATTTAATTTGCTCTTAATTCATTATCCAAACATTCTTAAACATACGTTTGACATTTCTAAAGAATGAATTTCTGAGGCATAATATAGTAAAATAAAATTCCATCCTTACCTGTTCGATCTCCGTCCACTTTGTTGTAAAGATAGGCAGCGTTATTCCACTTGTTGAAGATATGTGACTGAGCTAATAAAAAAAGTAAGAGAATGATAGATATATTTGTATAAAATGAAAAGTTGCAATGGAAGACAAAAAATAAATAAAAAGATGAAAGTTAAGCTTATGAAGCCAGTCTTTGATAGCATGGATATGTTTCGTAGTTTAATGTAATGTGTTTAATAAAGACGTTTCTTACTTTAAGATATCATGAAACTGAAGATAATACTAAATTAATAGAATCATTAAGTTATACAGAATAAAAAATAACATTATTATCTTTTTTTTAGGATTTATAGTTCTATACTCAAAAAGCTATTTCAGCAAAATTACTTTTTATACGTAATAATTTAAATCTGGCGTCATATATATTACAACAAGACATCACAAGCACTAAAACCATTAAAACATAACTAAGTATCTTATTTCTCATTTACCTCGTTTCTGTACATTTTCAGACGGGAAATATCAGCCTCAACTGAGGTATCACCTTGTGCAGGAATTGAGTTCCATTGAAACTTCTTGTTCAGCCCAAATGACTTGATGTTTCTTAGGAGACATATGATTAACGTGATGTCTAGGTCTGTTGAAGTTGGAGCGGTGCCACCTGATGGAAACACTAGATCATATTGCACCTGCGTAAGTATTCCGCGTGTTCTTAAGTTTGTAAATGTTTGTCTTTCATTCTTCAAAAATGCGACAAGAGGGACATTTTGCAGTTTTTGATCGAAAATATTCCTAAGTATAAGTAGTCCTCCGTCTATAATCAGCATTTGCAGGCGAAAAAGACGACAACTTTTTTGCTGCGCCTTTGAAGACGTTACTTGACTTGGGGTTGTCATTTTCCTTTTGTTATCAGAGAATCATTTCTGTAATTACATAAATAAATTCTTGATCATTAAATCAACATGATGCATGATTTTGTCACCTTCCCCAAAAATTATATCAACTGCCAATAAATACTAACTGCATTTTCTCAGATGGAGGGGATAAACAAAGGCAACAGTTATAAACAAATGTACTGATACTTTCCATCCTTATTATGTTTTCAAGATAAATTTATTTAGCAAGGATGTAAGCTTGTCTGTACAATCATGTCAGTCTGATATTTAAGGGATTTTTTAAATAATAATTTACAAAAGATATATTATACAAGCTTTTATTTTAAGTTGTGTACTGTATGGTACCAAAACAGAATACAGCAGCGGAAATGGTCTCCCTTATTTTGTCTTGTTAAAATCGTAATAGTATCGGTCTATGTAGTGTTGATGACTTCAAAACTCCACACTGGTGTTAGATAGCTGATAAATACCACTCAGACAAATTTTATTTTTTAAATAAAAGTCAGAATGATATAAATTTATTATGCCCCGCTTCTTTCTGGGTTTACATATATATCTTTAAAATTTACAAATTTAATTGATGTAGGGAATAACAACGAAAAATGTATGCTTATTGATAATCATAAGAAGTGCTATCTATTTCCTTTTTCAAAATTAACAATTGATGAAACTGGTTAGGGAAACACATATATATTACAAAAAGTCTAAATATGGAACTGATTACATATCCAGAGTTATTCAGACTATTAACTTAGTTCGTATTTCCTTTTTTAAAAAATTATGTTATTTTATATGGAAAACTTGAACTTTTTAGGCAACAAGACTTGAAAGTTAGACGTTTGTCGGACCGTATATGTCACGGAAGGTATATGTCACACGTTTGGGACACATTCGGCCGAATTAATCACAGCTGTCCGTGTATTCCATAAACGTTTCTGCAATTTGATAGCAAATGCCTCATCGTATATGTCACACATTTTACACAGTAAAGTAACATTATCATCGTGATTTAACCAACCTACTTTCATAAACGTTAATAATATATCATCATCATAAACAGAAACAGCAACATAATCACTATCATTATCATCAATAATAAATCATCATCGTTATCGTAAATCAGCATAATTATATTTGGGTAGTTCACGCCGACATGTTTATCATTTTACTAGTTAGATGACTACTGTGTCAGTAAACAGTGACTGGCTTTGTTGAAAACATGTGGTAAACATTTTGAACATTAATATTTATTGACTTGAAGATAAAATATCGACTTTTTATGTCCCACTCTGAGAGGGGGTGGGGTATATATTTTACTTGTCCTTGCGCCTATGCCTGCATATGTGTGTCTGTCCGATTTTTAACATTTTAATAAATAATATTTTTTTAATGCAAACCAGATGTATAATTTAACAGTGCAGGTGCGCACGAGAGGAGAAAGTATGAATGGCGTTCTGTTCACTCCACATTTATAACTTACTTCTTAAACGTTATGTTATGCCTAAATATATCATGGTCATTTTCGAAATGACGATTGAACGCAATAAAGATGTTTCAAACAAGCTTTTTGACATATATGACAAATTTCTAAAAAAAAGTCGGTGATATATTTGTTTATCATACACTTTTAATATCTCTGTTATCACCTCCGCCACAATATCATCAATACCATCATCATCAGCATCAGCATCACTGTGATCATCATGATCACGATGATGATCATCATCATCAGACTTTGTCCTACTTAGTCCCAGTGCGTCCTTACCACGTTCTCAGTTTTTACTCCGTCGTACAGTACTGAGAACAACGAGCAAGTCGCGAACATGAGATTTAAAGTATTGGCTATGAAAAAAACTAAAACACCTTAGTATCTTGTTCTTACAATATCTTCAGATGGTCAGAATATGTTTAACATGATACAAAAACATTTTGATAGTTCATTTTGAGTAGCCAATTATTTCGTACGCATGACAGAGCCACAGAGGATCTAAAGATACTGTTAACCACTATGGCACGGCATAATAACACTAGTAGTCTGTAACTTCTAGTAGGCCTACCCTTACTACTTATAGCAGTTTAATGTATTTCTTGCTGTAGCTGCTACTGCAGCTGGTGATGATGTTAATGATGATGGAGATTAAAATGGCGGTTGTGGTTTTTACGATTCCGTCATTAGGTGTTTTTGTTTGTTTTGTTTCTGTTTTTTGTTGTTTTTTTTTTGTTTTTTGGGGGGAAGGGGTTGTTTTGGGTTTTGTTTCGGAGGGTGGGCTTATGTAAGCAAAAATAACACACATGTGACGTATACGTTTGTATTCTCTTTTTTATGCGCAATTTTGGAAAGTGACAAATATGCTTTGGTGAGCACAGAAAAACTCAATTCAACCGAATATGGCACATTTTATGGTCCATATTCGGCTGAAGAGTGTGCCATATTCGGCCGAATATGTCACACGTGTGACAAATTCGAACCAAATATGTCACACGTGTGCCATATTCGGTCCGAGACATATACGGTCCGACAGACGTTCATGCATTTGAACATTTTAAGTTGGGGTCTTTGCATATAGACAATTTAGGTTACGGTTTCAAGCGTATTTACAGCTACAGTTTAGGGTTCACTTCTCTAATTATTAACATAAGAGATACTTTGTTGCAATAACTTAAAAATAACATAATTAAACAGAATGCATGTATCATACATATGTCTCCTCGTTTACACACATGTAGACAATAATATACTTATAACTATCGTGCGACTGTTTATTTAAATAGGATTAAGGTTAATTAACTAACTAACTTAGTAGTAGTTTGAACTACTTTACACTATGAATAATATCATGCCATATTATTGTAGTGGTCAGTGGTATACCTACCGATACGCCAATACGCACGGGCGTATAAAAAGAAAAAGATTTTCGCAAAAATATCAAAAATGAAATCAATAATTTGGGCGTAGATCGATCAACATATTCTTAGCTGCTAATTGATTCTATAGGTATGCTTATGATGTTACCTAACTGAATATGCGTTACCAATTAATTTATTCGCAATCAAAAATTCCATTATGAGAAAAGGGAGTAAGCACATATGAGCAAATTAAAATAATATACACTGCTTTGGTATATCAACGGGTAGCCATGTAAGAGAAAGTTATTTTATTGCTGTGTCAGTCTCGAATCCGAGAAATCAATGTTTAAATGGTTTCAATTATCTTTAAAGAATTCAGTTAATACCACCCTATGAGAAAGTTGAAACTTTTTAACTCAGAAAATAAAATATTCAGCCTTTTTACAGAAGCATGAAGTGACGAACACAATGTAAAAATATGATATAAACAATTTCTTTGGAATACTTCTGTAAACAATGACATATATTCTTTATTATACGTAGTCTCATCTACATATTTAAAACATAGACAAATATACAACGAGAACAATGTATAGCCCCAACTCGTTTATTTGAACCAACTTTAGATAACGTCGCGGCGAGCATCCTTTTATGTACGTGAGGCATTTAACTTCGTAATGAAATTGCTTAAATATTTCGAATGAAAACTGAAAGAGTAGAGTTGAGAATAACAACTGTTATTTAAAGTCAATATTTATTGTCATCAAAATTGACATAATACGCATTTAAAAATATTTTAAAGGACCTAATTGATCGTGCGATACTACATCTTAGCTGATTAATACGATAACCTCTTGTTACACTAAAACATTAAAGCTTTTGTATGTATTATCGTCATACAGATCATTTTAAATCATTGATTATATCTCGTGTTAAGTTATGATGAAACAAAAGAACAATAACAATAAGATTGGAGATTTGAATACTTCTTTTACATTTACCATAATTACTTTAAATGATAATTCATAAATGTGTCGACGTTTCTCTATTCAGTCATAAACGAAAGAAGCACCCGAACAAAGGGACAATGGGATATTTGGTGAAATCTATTAATTGAATCAAATACGAAGGTTTACAGTACAGAAAAGAATATTGATGGCACTAAATATAAACCACATTTATAGCCATAAAAATACTTACATGTATAGCGGTGCATACAAAACTTTACAAGAAGAAAAAAATGACAATTTAGATTTGACAAATTTTAGGTTGTTTTTAGACATTCTGCTATCCTAGTGCTTAATGGGAGTGATTTCATTGTCTTTCTCTGAAAGCAAATTAAAACAATCGAGCTTATTTGTAAACAGATTTTTCAGAATATGTCGACATTTAAGTAATAAACATTTGAATATATTACCATCTACAACATTACGGATTAAAGGATTTGAGTCGTAACAACTGCCTTTGTTTAGGACAAACAAAAGTAAAACTGATAAGGATCTTCAACTATATTCTTATAAAATTGAGAACAGTATCGTTGTTGTATGTCAGTATTGTATTACTGTCCAGTTTCAATGGCTAAGTTATTTGTCCAGTCAAACATCGTTCGGGCCTGTGCATTTTTCTTCGAGAGATCGTAGTTCGAGACAACCGAGGTTGAACTATGCTGAAATCATGTGATTTATGATCATATATTACGTAGGTATTGGCCTGAGGCAGCTTACATCGGGCGGATGATAAATTCGTCTACAGAGCTGTTTGCTTGTATTTCAGTTCTTCGAATAAGTCATTTCCTCTAAATACTAACAATTATTGTAAAAAAATACACACCCATGTATTAAATGAGTAAAATGTGTATTAACGGTACAGAGTGTTTCCCAATGTTCAAAATATATCTATGTGTTTATTATGGGATAAATATATTATTTTCTAACAATGAATTTCTGAAAGATTAACAAATCATTTACCCCATTACTTCATATAGACCTATTTTCATGCCTTTCCACCCCACCCCCCTTTGAGGCCTTAAATAATGAAAAAATGACATATTTAGACCCCAAACACTTGTTTTCGTTTGCGGAATGTTGTAAAAAAGTGATCACTTTTCGGCGCCATCCACTATCAAATAGATACATCAAGAGATGCCAGAGGGGCAGACCCTCTCATCTCCAAAA